ATGACCTTAGGGAATATATTTACAAAAGACAAACATTTTTCGTGCTCCAAGGCAGGGGCCCCACACAATATCCGGAAGTCTCATTGCTCATCATTCTCGTATTCCACGACTCAATTTTCGAGCCAGAGCGAGTCGAGTGGAACTCACGATCAATTCATTTCGTTTAGCACTTTATGTTCAAACTCAACAAAAATGAGCAACATTTTGCCACGCGAATTGTTGAAATGTTGTAATTACATGAAATATAATGGCTCTTTAATAATCAATTTAAAAATGCATGTAATATTATTTTATAGAACATATATGTGTTCGCCCCAGCCCAGATATATAAAGTACTATTATAGAAGTACAAGACAACCTCCTTTCTTACAGTAGAAAGCAATCAACGTAAATAGTAGTATAACATTTTTATATGCAAATCACTAATATTCATGTACGTTTCTTCATGGACGAAAGTCAATAAGCATGCACGCTTGATAATCATTTCTTGCTTGAAAATACAAAATCTAGAATATCGAAATTAGGCACGCCGTGAAAATTGTATATAACAAGTATATATCTCGAATATAAGTATTAAACTGACACGTGTCAGCACATCATTCGTAGATGGCGCGCCTCGTGGGATTGTGGCACGGCCCTGATTTTTGTTATAAATACCTGTTTTGGGGAGGTGAAGTGAACAAGCACTCAACACAAAATATATAGGCTGAGAAAATTATTGAGCAATAATATATTGAAAATGGCTTCTAATAAGCTGATGTTCAATGCTCTTATTCAGTTACTGCTTTTGTTTGTGTGTGTTTATAGCTGGCCTCGGCCATCACAAGATCCACAACCTCAGTTACAAGTAGGATATTATCTAAGTCGCTGCTTTTGGGCCGAATCTATCGTGAAAGGCGAAGTTCAGAAAGCATATTTACAAGACAATGGGATCGCTGCTGCACTTATACGTATGCATTTTCACGATTGTTTCGTGATGGTAAATAAAATTATGTTTACAATTAGTGCATTATTACTAATTAGTGTTCTTGTTATAATACTTTCACTTACAATTCAAATTCAAATTCATGTAGTACATATTAATTTTCTCAGGGCTGTGATGGGTCGGTGCTGTTAGACTCGACTGAAGATAACACGGCCGAAAAAAATGCGACGCCAAATATGAATAGCCTCAGGGGGTTTGATGTCATAGACAATATAAAGGCTCAGCTCGAAAAGAATTGCCCGGGCATTGTCTCGTGTGCTGATATACTTGCCTTTGCAGCCAGAGATAGTTTTGAAATTGTAACGGAATTCAATATTTTCACGAATTACTAAAGTCATTAATCTATTAATGATGAGTACAAATTTCATAGTATATTTTTTGGGTTTTTTGTTCCTTGTTTTGCATGTACAGGCTGGGAACCTTGGTCTTTTGGGTGGTTATGATGTGCCAAGCGGGAGGTTAGACGGCACAGTCTCGCTTGCCTCCGAGGCACAACAAAACTTGCCGGCTCCAACATTTAATTTGGATCAACTTACTAAGTCCTTTGCAAGTAAGGGTCTATCACAAAGAGATATGGTCACTCTTTCTGGTAAGTTAATTTTTTTTTT